AGGTCTCTAAGATGTTATCAAATGACAGTCCCCCATTAACAAGCCTGGTTTCTTTGTAACGTTCCCCAAATTATGTATCGTGATAAAGTAATAGCAGATTGTGTTGTTAAAGATTTTTTTTTTAGATTTATTTATTTTTATTGGAAAGGAGGATATACAGAGAGGAAGAGGAGAGACAGAGAGGAAGATCTTCTGTCCGATGATTCACTCCCCAAGTGAGCACAACGACTGGTGCTGAGCTAGTCTGAAGCCAGGAGCCAGGAGCTCTTTCTAGGTCTCCCAGGCAGGTGCAGGGTCCCAAGGCTTTGGGGTGTCCTTGACTGCTTTCCCAGGCCACAAGCAGGGAGCTGGATGGGAAGTGGAGCTGCTGGGATTAGAACCGGTGCCTTATGAGATCCAAGAAGTGCAACACGAGGACTTAAGCCTCTAGGCCACCGTGCTGGGCCCTCTCTCCATCTTTTAAACTTACCTGCTCTGTTTAATCTAAATCCAGGCCTTTTCTGGACTTGTGGTAGACAACTGTTCCCTGGAACAGTGCCTTCAGTTTGTGGCCATAATCCTAAATATATTTTCGTAGTAAGATCAAGATTTCACTCTATCTCAACTATGTAATATCAATCTATTCTCTCTCTGTCTCCCCTCACCCCCTTTTTTTTCTACAAATCTCAACAACCCCTCTTTTGGCCACATTCCTATTCTGTAATGAGCAAATATCCTAAGCAGTAAACAAAGAGTCTGTTTTTCTTCCTAGCAGCCAAATCTTCCTGCATCTCTACCAGTATTTCTTCTTGTCTTCCCGCTTACTATGGTGCAAATACCACCCGCGTCCTAGGCCCGCCCTTTCCAGCTCCAGATCCCATCCTAGGTTGTCCTGTGCTTTGCCAAGGACATCACTCCCCTCTCAGGGATCATCAAGTTATTCATAATATGGAACTTACTATTCGTGTGTGTGTGTGTGTGTGTGTGTGTGTGTGTGTGTGTGTGTTTGAAAGGCAGAATTACAAACAGAAAAGAAGAGACAGAGATAAAGGGAAATCTTGCCAATGGTGTACGGCCAGGGCTGGCTGGGCCCAAGCCAGGAGCCAAGAGCTTCATCTAGGCCTTCCATTTGGGTGCAATGGCCCAGGTACTTGGAGGTGTTCTGCTGCTTGCCCAGGGGCCCTAGCAGTGAGCTGGATTCAAAGTGAAATAGCCAGGCAGCTCAAATCACTACCCTCAATGCTACGCTGACCTCAAAACTTACTATTGTGAATGATACCATCTTCTCTTTGATTTTTTTGTTTGTTTTGTGTTTGATTTGTTGTTGTTATTTTGAAAGCAGATTTAGAGAGAATGATTTGATGGAGGAGATTTTGGAATTGTGCATGTGAAAACTTGCCCTTTCTGCCCCCTGACTAATGGTCCATGCCACACATCCCAGCTTGTGCAGAATGTTGCTGGCTCAAATGAGAAGGAGCCACTAACTTGGCCCCTAGACCAACAGCATCCTGGTGGGTTTGCTCAGACTGTAGTGTGACCGCAGTTTTGGGGGTAGAAATGGGACAATGAGAGTGGATAAAGAAATACCACAAAAAACAAGGGCCTGGCGCAGTGGCCTAGCGGCTAGAGTCCTCGCCTTGAAGCCCCGAACGCACCAGGATCCCATATGGGCACCGGTTCTAATCCCGGTAGCCCCACTTCCCATCCAGCTCCCTGCTTGTGGCCTGGGAAAGCATTTAAAGACATCCCAAAGCCTTGGGACCCTACACCCGTGTGGGAGACCTGGAGGAACTTCCTGGCTCCTGGCTTTGGACTGGCACAGCACTGACTGTTGCAGTCACTTAGGGAGTGAATCATCAGACGGAAGATCTTCCTCTCTGTATATCTGACTGTGCAATAAAAATAAATAAACCTTTAGAGAAAAAAAAAAAAAACCTCTCTCTCCTGGTCTCTGTAAAAATCTGCCTTTTTTTTTTATTTAAGAAGATAATCTTTATTTTTTTTCTATTTTTTTATTATTATTATTATTATTTTATTACATTGCATCATGAGACACAGTTTTACAGGCACTGGGATTCCCCCCTCCCCTCCCCAAAACCCGCTCCCCCCCCATGGTGGATTCTTCCATCTTGTTTAGAGCCTTACAATTTTACAATTCTTTGATGTAGATCAGAAGCAGTCTACTCATATCGATTATTGATTCCTTGATTACTTCACAATATCTTATTGCATGAGATACAGGTTGTTTGGGGTTGAAATAATATTACTGTTTCAGATTGACATCAATTCATAACAACCACATCAACAACAACACCAACAACATCGACAACAAAGTATATCACCCTGAAAAAAAGTAACACCACTGAATAGCCAACACATGCATGACAAAAAGGAAACACAGAAGTCTCTCGGGAAAAATGGTGCCATCATATACTTCATAAGCACATGATGAATTCTACTAGAGAATAGAGATTATTTGGAAGCAACCAAACTGAAGTAAAAACATCAAAAAACCAGCATAGATTGGACTGTTGGAGTTCCCCTTTCCATGTTGGCTTCCTTATATGAGAGAGAATATATGGTATTTGTTCTTTTGTGATTGACTCATTTCACTCAGCATAATGGTTTCTAGTTGGGACCACCTGGTTGTAAATAGAATAATTTTGTTTTTCTTAATAGCTGCATAATATTCCATGGAGTAGATATACCACAGTTTCTTTAACCACTCTTCCTTGGACGCACATCTGGTTTGCTTCCATGTCTTTGCTATTGTAGATTGTGCTGCTATAAATATAGAATTACAGATCCCCTTCTCACAGGCAGATTTCACTCCTTTTGGGTATATTCCTAGGAGCGGGATAGCTGGGTCATATGGCAGGTTTATTTGCAATTTTCCCAGCACTCTCCATACTAATTTCCATAGTGGTTGTACTAGCCTACACTCCCACCAGCAGTGAAGGAGGGTACCTTTCTCCCCACATCCACGCCAGCAGGTGTTGTTATTCGAGTTCTGGGTGTAGGCCAGCCTCACTGGAGTTAGGTGGTACCTCAACGTGGTTTTCATTTGTATCTCTCTGATGGCTAGGGAGCCTGAGCATCTTTTCATATGCCTGTTAGCCATTTGAACCTGTTCTTCTGAGAAATGTCTGTTCATTTCTTTTGCCCATTTTGTTACAGGGTTGTTGTTTTTGCTGTCCCTGGGTTTCTGAAGCTCTTTGTAGATCTTGGATATTAGTCCCCTATCACTTGTGTAGTATGCAAAAATTTTCTCCCATTCTGTTGGTTGCTTCTTCACTTTATTAATTGTTTCCTTTGCTGTACAGAAGCTTTTTAGTTTGATGTAGTCCCATTTGTTCATTTTGGATTTAATTGCCTTTGCTTTGGGTGTCTTTTCTAAGAAGTCTTTCCCTGTTCCAATATCTTGGAGTGTGTTTCCTATATTTTCCTTTAATAGTTTGATGGTTTCTGCGTGTAAATTTAGGTCCTTGAGCCAGTTAGAGCTGATTTTTGTATAATGCGACAGGTGTGGGTCTTGCTTCTTTATTCTGCAAGCTGCTATCCAGTTGTCCCAACAGCATTTGTTGAATAAACCAGGTATTTTACCTGGATTGTTTTCCGTTTTCTTGTCAAAGATTAGGTGAGTATACATGTGTGGATTTCCTTCTGGTGTTTCTATTCTGTTCCACTGATCTTCTTCTCTGTTTCTGTACCAGTACCAGACTGTTTTGATAACCACTGCTCTGTAGTATGTCTTGAGGTCTGGAATTGTGAATCCTCCAGTTTGATTTCTATTTTTCAGGATAGCTTTAGCTATTCGTGGTCTTTTGTGTCTCTGTAAAAATCTGCCTTTTTTTTTTAAAAAAAAAAAAAAATTTATTTTATTTTTTTTATTGGAAAGTCAGATTCACAGAGGAGAGAGAGAGAAAGGTCCTGTCTCCTGGTTCACTCCCCAGCTGGTCACAACGGCCAGAGCTTTGACAATGTAAAGCCAGGAGACAGGTTGCTTCTCCATGTCTTACATGTGTGTTCAGGGTCCCAGGCTTCTCGGCCATTCTCCATGGCTTTCCCAGGCCTCAAGCAGGAGCTGGATGGGAAGTGGAGCAGCTGGGATATGAACTGACACACATATGGGATGCTGGCGGATGCCAGGCCAGGATTTAGTACAAAAATCTGCCTTTCAAATAAAAATAAGTACATCTTTAAAATAATTGTAAACACACACAGAGTTTAGAAATGGACAGAGTACTAGAACAGACACTTTACAGAGAGAGCCAACAGTGTCTGGGCCACCATGATGCAGGTCTGCGACTCTTAGCAGGACTTGATCTGTGGGTCACTCCTTCCAGAGACATCGCCCGCTTTTAGCTCCTTTACAGCCTTCTTTCCTGGTACCTGCAAGGCTCTGACTCTTCCAGCTCCTATAAAAACCTCACCTCTCCTTTTATCCAATGTACAAGCGAAAGTGTACTTGCTACAGTGTACCAAGCGAAAACGCTAGTGTTGTGGTGCCACAGGTCAAGCTGCCACCTGTGTACAGTGCCAGTTCACATCCCGGCTGCTCTGCCTTTGATCCAACTTCCTGAAGGCAACAGTGATGGCTGTGATGGTTCCTGCCACCCATCTCGGAGACCTGAGCTGAGGAATTGGTGTTCTGGTTCAGCCCGCTCCCACTCTGTCACTGCTGACCGGCAGTGAAGGAGCAGGTCTGAGCCAGCCTGGGTGCAGGGATCCAAGCACTTGGGCCGTCCTCGGTTGCTTTCCCAGGTCGTAAGCAGAAAGCTGGATGAGAAGCAGAGCAGCTGGGACACGAACCGGTGTCCCAGGGGGAGAATTTAGCCTATGTTGCAGCTGTTTTAAAATTCAACGTTTATCCTGAAAGTCCCAGCGGTTCCTTTTAAACACCCTCTCGGAGTGAGGGCGGCACTCCGCGGGCCATCGGAGCCGGCGCTGACGCGCATGCTCCGCACGCCCCGCCCTCCCGCGGCCACGCCTCCCGCGCCGCGAGGGTTGCCGGGAAGGCGCCCATCTTCTTTGAGCGCGTTAGGCCAGCCGGCGGCGCCCCGGGTCGAGTGGCGGTACCTGGTGGCCTGTGGCGTGGCTCTGTGGGACCGAGACCTTCGAGGTGAGCACTGCCGGCCTGCTGGGCCGGTGCCTGGGCGCGCGCTGCCTTTGCTCGCCTCTCCCGCGGCGGAGCCTCGTGGGCCGCAGCCGGGCGCGGAGCGGAGGGCGCAGGCCGTGGGCAGGCTGCGGAGCCGGGCGCCGCACGTGGCCGGGCCCCGGGGCAGCCGTGGACGCTCCGCCGCCCGGCTCCTTGGGGGTCTCCGTGGAGGCTGCCCACGTCCCCGCGCAGTCCTCCGAAGGCGGAGAACTAAGACCTCCTGTGTACGTTTCTGGGGAGGTCGGCTGCGGGCCGACTGCAGGCCCACGGTCTCGGGCCGCAGGTGTACCCTCTTCCCGACGTGGTTGTGCGGGGCCTTTTGAGCCCGCATTCACTCTCATCCAAGTTTCTGGTCTGTGAAATGGAACGCGTGGGTAGTATTTCCCTACTAGTTGTACACTCAGGCAAGTGTACGTTGCAGCAAAATTCCAAGTTTTGGGCTGGAGAAGTCTTGAGTGGAAGCGTGTGAACTGTTTTGTCTCCTCGTTTGCCTTTTCAGGCTACCGCAGAAAGTAGTTTACGAGGGTAGATTTGGGTAATCAGACGCGCAGCGATGAGTGCGTGAATTCTGTGATGGGACTGGCGTGCGCCTTGCAGAGCCCCGTTGCAGGAACTTCCCGATGTGGATCCGGGTTATGGAATAGCGCTTACAGTGTATCTGAGCGAACTGACAGTAGTACATCACTCCACTGATAGCAGGTGTCCTTGACGAGTTCTGAATGTACTTTTGCATCGTGTGGATGACTGGGTGGGTTAGTGAGTGGAAGACTTGGCTTCTGACTTTATTTTTACCGCCGTGTGAATATCGGAGATAGGAAACGCGAAACTGCCATAATGTGAACCAGTGTATTTAGCTGCACTTTTGTCCCTCCCTACAGGTTCCCTCCACATCAGGGTGGTTTGTCTTCCTATGCTGAAATTTTTGGTTTTGAATATTTGTAATACACAAAATATAATTGGCCCAACATTTCAAGGATATGATATTTGGACTTTTTTGAATCTTAAGACATTATGATGCAAAATTGTTAATTTTTAAAAATCAGTTGTGACAGATTTTCAAAGGGACATGATTGTCACCAAACAAATAGCTCTAAAGCCATAGCAAACAGTGATCTGTTTAAAGCTGAAAAGGTTTGGTTGACAAGAGGCTGGTGGGCGTGTTTGCTCCCTGAAGTTTGCTTCACCAGACAGATAACCAAATTGCTCTTTTCTGGAAAATTTACTCAAAGAGACAATGATAGATCAGCTTTCCATCACTTATTCCAAACTATTGCTATTCTCAGATATCTTAGAATTGTGAAACTAGAAACTTTTGATTTAACAGTCTTTCTGGTCTTCAGATTTGGGGTACTTTACAGGAAACTGGAATGGCTGAAAACGGTGAGAATGAGAAAATGGCTGCGCTGGAGGCCAAAATCTGCCATCAAATTGAGGTATGCTTCTTGCACTTTGAAAAGTAAATTCCTTGGGTGGCAACTTAAAATTTTTATAGTTTATTGGAAAGACAGAAAGATCTCCCCTCTGCTGATTTACTCCCCCTAGTATCAGGGGAACCAAGGCTAGGCTGGGCCAAAGCTGGCAGTTCAAAGGTCAGTGCAGGTTTCCCACAAGGATGGCAGGGACCTGACATGATGAGCCACCCCTGCTTCCTGGGGGGGGTGCACTAGCAGGTGTCTGGGATTGAATACAGCCCTGGGGCACAGATCAGGCATTGGGGTGTTGCAAGCTGCAACTTAACAACTGTGTCAAAAGGCTGTCCCTGCAAGGAAGTTTGAGGGAGTCAAGATAAATACAGAAAGAACAAGTAATTTCAATTTATAGGGCTGTTCAGTATTTGGTTTTTGCTTCTTTGAACATACACTAGTATAGCTTTTAGGTTGGTAGGGCCAGGTTCTAAAACTCAGGAGCTGTAAGACATTCCAGAAGGTAACACTGTAGAGTGGTTACTAAATTATTCCTTAGTTGAGCTTCTAAGTCTGTAACATGGGGGCAGTACTAGTCCTGTCTTTATGAGATAACATGAAGAATCCTTGTTAAATAATGCTTTGTATTTTTAAGGTCCTAGTAGGTTTTTTTCCCTACCTAATCAGTTCTCAGCTATTATAATGTTATCATTGTACCCGTTTTCAAAGTCGTTTTTTTTTTATGACTTATTTATTAATAAGGCAGGTGAGATTTATAGAGGAGAGACAGAAAGATTTTCTATCTGCTTGTTCACTCCCCATGCAGCACAGTGGCCAGAGCTGAACCAATCCAGAAGCGAAGAGCTTCTGGGTCTCCCACACAAGTAAAGGGTTTCAGAGCTTTGGGGCTGTCCTCTGCTGCAAGCAGGGAGCTGGATAGGAAGTGGAGCACCCAGGACACAAACCAGCACCCTTATGGGATCCTGGTGCTTGCAAGGTGAGGATTTAGCTATTAAGTCATTGCACCAGGCCCTAAGTCTTACTTGTTACTTTTTTTTTCCCACATTTAATTACAATTTTTAGGCTGAAACCTTACAGTATCAGTCATGGCTGCTCGAGGAATTATCCTTGAATTTATGTGTTTACTGAGAATTCTCAGATCATATTTTTTTTTGGTGTGGGTTTTTCTTCCCTTATCTCCATTTTCATGACGACATTTTAGTTTTCTCAAAAATTATGGAGACAAATACAAATTATTCTGTGCTTAGCACTTAGAACAGGGGCTGGTGTTGTGGCTGCATAACAGTTCACCTCCTTGCTGATGCAGCAGAAGATGGTGCAAGTACATGGGCCCCGTGATACTGATGTGGCTCCTGACTACAGCCTGACCTAGCATTGGGGGAGTGAACCAGTGAATAGAGGAAATTCATCTGTGTCCCCTCCCCTCTATTTGTCTTATAAAAATAAGTACTAAAAATATGCAAAATGTAAATTTAGAACAATAATAAAGATGTCTGTTAAAAAGCTTAATATCTCCCTAATAACTTGATACCACCTAGCTGTAAGACATCCCGTTCTATTTTAAAATAGTTTTATTTAAGTATTTTTATTCTGTAGATGCATTTGTTTCAGTGATCTGCAATTTAGTTGTATTTTATTTGCTCATTTGAAAAACAGAGATTATATCAGCTGGCTCGTCTCTCAGATGTCCGAGATAATGAGCTGGGCAGGCAGAAACCAGCATTCAGTCTGAGTCTCTCATGTGTCTGGCAAGGACTCAAGGATTTGAACCATTACCTGCTACCTGCTAATGTCTGTACTAGCTGGAAACTGGAAGCAGATATCCCAAGTGCTCTCAACCCCTGTGCAAATCCTTACCCAAATCTTTTCTTTCTAAAAATTCGTTAGAAGTATTTCTTTATAATGTTTGTTGCCTTTTACAACTTATATTTTTGAAAAATAGAGCATGGTGTGGTGCTAAAAAAAATATTCAAGGTTAGACTTGGTATTACATGGTGCTTTGTAATTATTTTGCAGTATTATTTTGGAGACTTCAATTTGCCACGGGACAAATTTTTAAAGGAACAAATCAAACTGGATGAAGGCTGGGTACCTTTGGAGATAATGATAAAATTTAACAGGTAAACTCTTTTTTTATTATCATCATTTTATGATACAGTTCCATAGGCCCAGGGATTTCCCTTACCTCCTCCTCAAGTCCCCTCCCCCTGCCACTGATTTCCGCAATATTATTATGCTAATATAGTTCTTCATAAACAGCCATATGGCCATCATGGACATTGGCACAGGGTCTAGTATCCTATTGTCAAGATACAGTTAACCGTTTTTTGGGGAAGCCATCTTTGATCTGGAAGTAGAGATGAATACTGCATTGTATCCTCACATCTGGAAATGATAGTGTCTATTACACAGTTACTATACATCCCCTCAAATAAAAAGCCACAAAACAAAATCAGCAACAGAAAGAAAATAGATATTAACACCAGGAAGTTAAATAAACAAAATCAAGAATCTGGGCCCAGCACGATGGCGCAGTGGTTAAGGTCCTTGCCTTGCACACCCGGGATGCCATATGGGTGCTGGTTCTAATCCCGGCAGCCCCACTTCCCATCCAGCTCCCTGCCTGTGGCCCAGGAAAGCAGTCGAGGACGACCCAAAGCTTTGGGACCCTGCACCCGTGTGGGAGACCTGGAAGAGGCTCCTGGCTTCGGATTGGCATAGCATCGGCCATTGTGCTCACTTGGGGAGTGAATCATTGGATGGAAGATCTTCCTCTCTGTCTCTCCTCTCTGTATATCCACCTTTCCAATAAAAATTAAAAAATAAATCTTTAAAAAAAAAAAGAAAGAAAATCAAGAGTCTTCTTGAAGACAGTGAAGCTACTGTATGATCTATGAGTCAGAGAAGAATTTAATGAGAAAGTGGTTTGTATTTTTATTGGAAAGTGAAATATACAGAGAAGAGGAGAGACAGAGAGGAAGATGTTCTGTCCATGGTTCATTCCCCAAGCGGCCGCAACGGCTGGAGCTGAGCCAATCAGAAGTCAGGAGCCAGGAGCCTCTTACGGATCTCCCACATGGGTACAGGGTCCCAAAGCTTTGGGCCGTCCTCAACTACTTTCCCAGGCCACAAGCAGGAAGCTGGATGGGAAACGGGGCCACAGGAATGAGAACCGGAGCCTATATGGGATCCTGGAGTGTTCAATGAGAGGACTTTAACCACGATGCCGTTGCGCCAGGCCCTGTCCTGTCATTTTTAGCAATAGGTTGTTCATTGATGAAGTTTTCTGTTATTTTACTGGGATGTTCCTCGCATTTGCCTTTGGTTTTGGTGGGTGCTATTCCTCTTCTCTGTCAAGAGAACATCTTTTGAATATCCTTTGTAGGGCAGGTTTGGAAGAGGCATATTCTTTTAAGTTTTCTTACTGTGGAAGATTTTTATTTCATTTTCAAAGACAAAAGAAAACTTTACTGGGTATGTTATCCTGGGCCAACAGTTTTTTGCTTTTAGAATATGTCACTGCAGTCTTTTCTGGGCTGTAGAGTTTCCTGTGAGAGGTTTAATTGGCATTCCTTTAAATGTCAATTGATTTTTTTTTTTTATGTGCCCTTTTAAGGATCTTTCCCTTATGTTCAATTGATGAGAGCTTGATTATCATGTGTCGTGGTGAAGACTCTTTTGGTCAAGCCTGTTGGGAGTTATGTGCCCCTCCTGGATCTTGTTTCCTAGTTCGTTAGATTAGGGAAAATTTCCCTCATTATTTCAATAAATACATTTTTAAACTCAGCTTCTCTTTCTTCACTTTCTGGGACTCCATAACTCTTATATTTGGCATTTTAATTTCTTGCACACTTTTTTTTAGCTTGATCCAGCTCTGCTTCCAGCTTTTTGTTTTTTCCTGGTGACAGGAAATATCTTCCAATTCTGAGATTCTTTCTTCTGCATCCTTCATTCTTCCTTCATCCTTACTGTAGTTGGTACATAGTTCTTTGTTTGCGGTCACTTGTACTACTCCCTCCAGCGTTCTTATGGTCTTATGTTAGATTTCCACCATGGTCTCTGTAGTCCCAGCTCCTGGCTCACCACTCTTCATCTCCTGTGATACCATGCTGAGGCTGTACCATTGTCTATAGGACCTTTTTCCCACTTACGGTTGGAGCAGGTTACAGGGTTATGGAGGCAGCAGGAGTTCTATATAGTTAGTTTGTTGGTGGTGCTGATCTTTCTGGAACCTGTTGGTTGTTAGATCCGAGGGCCACCTGGACTTATTTTGATCCTTATGATGCCAAAGTTGGTATTATTTTCACTTAGGACCAATACAATGCACTAAGCTCAGTGAGTTCACTCCCAGCTCAGCGCATGCACAACTTACTGTTGTCCCTGCAGTCTTGTTATTTTTTTTTTTTTTTTAAGATTTAACTATTTTTATTGGAAAGGCAGATATACAGAGATGAGGAGAGACAGAGAGGAAAATCTTCCATCAAATGATTCACTCCCCAAGTGAGTGCAACGGCCGGTGTTATGCCCATCTGGAGCCAGGATCCAGGAACTTCCTCCAGGTCTCCCACACGGGTGCAGGTTCCCAAAGCATTGGGCCGTCCTCCACTGCTTTCCCAGGCCACAAGCAGGGAGCTGGATGGTTAGTGGGGATGCTGGTATTAGAACTGGCTCCCATATGGGATCCCGGGGCGGTCAAGGCGAGGACTTCAGCCGCTAGGTCACTTCACCAGGCCCTGTCTCTGCAGTCTTAAAAGACTTTGCCACATTGTACGAACTTGTGCCTGATGTGCCACTACTAGAGTTCTTGATCTGCTGGCCATCAGGTTCAAGGGCTACCCAATCCTGTCTTGGTTGGAACCTATAGGATAACATGTTGTTGCAGTTCACTAAACCAGAAATGAGTTCACTCCCAGCTCAGTGCTTGTACATTACTCTCCCATTGCCATTGTCTCCCTATTCAAAGTGGCGCCCAATTCAGCTCTAGGGGGCAGGCTGGGCTGTGGAATTCACCCTGTTCCCGTACTATCCATCTGGGACCTGCTGCTCTGTTCCTGCTCCTGGTCAAATCAAACATGCCAGCAGGACATTTAGTTCTTTGTCTTGGTTCATCTACTGAGCTCCCAGTGACCGCCCCTTCCCACATTGTCCCTGATTGCTGATTGAATTCTGGCTGCTGGTGCAGTTCAGATCGCCACTGGCTGAATGCAGTGGGGTATCAGATGCTGCAATGCCACACTGTTTTGTCTGCTGCTTTCCAGTATCAGTCTCCAGGTGCCCCTCTGCTGTCGTTCTGTTCTCTCCTATATTCTGGAATGTGCCCTCACAGTTTCATACTGGCCAGTGTTTCTCTGTGTGAATGTGTCCTTACCTTATTCTGCCAGCTTGATTCTCACAACAGGTATAATCTTTTTTAACAGTGATGTTATTAAGAGTGTGTGTGTGTGTGTGTGTGTGTGTGTGTGTGTGTGTGTGTGTGTATTTATATTTTGTTATGTTTTTCAGGCTAAACCGTCTAACAACAGATTTTAATGTAATTGTTGAAGCATTAAGCAAATCCAAGGCAGAACTCATGGAAATCAGTGAAGATAAAACTAAAATCAGAAGGTCTCCAAGCAAACCTCTTCCTGAAGTGACTGATGAGTATAAAAATGATGTGAAAAACAGATCTGTTTACATTGTAAGTGGTTTTGGATGTATTTAATATCTTTTTTTTTTTTCTTAAGATTTTATTTGCAAGTCAGATTTTCATAGAGAGAACAGGTACAAGGAGAGATCTTCCATCCTCTCTGGTTTATTCCCCAGTTGTCCAGAGCTGGCCTGTTAGGAGCTAGGGGCCTCCTCCTGGACTCCCATACTGATGCAGGGTCCCAATGACTTTGGCCACCGCTTTTCCCAGAAATAGGCAGGGAGATGGATGGGAAGTGGAACAACAGGGACATGAACCAGCACTCATGAGATGCCGGGCTTGGAGGTGGAGAGTTAGCCAGTTCAGCCATTGCATCATCTCTGAATAATGACAAACAGTTGTTTACTTGAAAAGTCCTTATTTGTGCATTTCTTCCCACTCTTCACAGAAAGGCTTCCCAACAGATGCAACCCTTGATGACATAAAAGAATGGTTAGAAGACAAAGGTCAAGTGTTAAATATTCAGATGAGAAGAACATTGCACAAAGCATTTAAGGTACGATAGGATGATCGTAGAGACTTTGTCCAGTTGTATAATATGTAGGACACAACTTTTCAGAAAACATTTTGTCTTTTATAGGGATCAATATTTGTTGTATTTGATTGTATTGAATCTGCTAAGAAGTTTGTAGAAACCCCTGGCCAGAAGTACAAAGAGACAGATCTGCTAATACTTTTCAAGTAAGTCTATTTGCTTTTGTTTCTTCTGGCCACTAAGAATTGAATTGAAACACTGTGGGAAGGAGCATGTGGTAGCATCCTTTATGAAAGCTAGTGTTTTTAATATTCTTAAGGACTATTTGAGACTGCTTGAGAAAATATTTATTAAAATCTTTATATTGTTAGCAACTGATGAAGAAGGTTAGCCTCCAGTATTTTACTTGTAAACATCTTAATCATGCTGGATACAAGAATTTCAGCTTTCCAAGTCATCATTGTGGTTCAGTGGGCTAAGACACTGCTTGGTTACGGCACAGGCCATATCAGATGGCCAGTTTAAATCCTGGTCACTGCTTCTGATCCAGTTTCCTGCTAATGTGTCGAAAGCAACAAATGGTAGTACAAGCAGTTGAGTTCCTGCCACCCACGTGGAGATCAGGATGGAGTTTCTGGCTATTGCCTTGATTGTTGTGGGCATTTAAGGCATGAACCAGCAGATGGCAGGTCTCTTTGTTTCTTTGTCTTTCAAAGAAATAAAAGTGAGGATGAAACAGAGCATTTTTTACTTTAGGCATATGTTCCCTCTGTTTCCAATACGCAATCTTCTAAATACTGTGTACTGCATCTGATGAACCTAGAAAAAAATGTACTGTGAAGAAACTGCTAGTAAGTTAAATAATGCAAATTATTATTATATAGTTCTGATCTCCTGTTATTTTTGTACAGTACTGAAAAATGCAGTATTAGGCTATGAATGGGTGTGGATTTCCTTATGAGATTGTGAAAATGCTTAGGAATTGGTAGTGGTTGTGTGCTTCTGAATAGCCTAAAAAATCATGAAGTGTACAGTTTAGGAGGATGAATTTTGTGGTATGGAAATTGTATCATAGGGAAAGTGTTATTTTAAAAATATCAATCACTATGATAGTGTTTGAAATTTTAGGTATTTTTTACAAAGAGGAGAGAAAGATCTTCTATCTTCTGGTTCATTCCCCATGTGGCATAGTGGCCAGAAGCTTCTCCTTTATTTATTTATTTAAAAATTGTTATTGCAAAATCAGATATACAGAGAGGAGGAGAGACAGAGAAAGCTCTTCCGTCCAATGATTCACTCCCCATGTGAGCGCAACAGCCGGTGCTAAGCCCATTAAAAGCCAGGATCCAGGAACTTCTTCCAGGTCTCCTACGCGCGTGCAGGGTCCCAAGGCTTTGGGCCATCCTCCACTGCTTTTGCAGCTACAAGCAGGGAGCTGGGTGGGTAGTAGAGCTGCCGGGATTAGAACCGGCGCCCATAGGGGATCCTGGCACGTTCAAGGCGAGGACTTTAGCCACTACGCTATCACACCGGGCCTGAAGCCAGGAGCTTCTTTCAGGTTTCCTTTGTGGGTGCAAGCTCCCAAGGCTTTGGGCCATCTACTGCTTTCTAAGGTCATAATCAGTAGAGGGGAGGTGGAGCAGCTGGCACTCGAATTGGCCATATGGAATACCAGTGGTTAATGAGGATTAGCCAGTTAAGCCTTTATGCCAGAGCTTAATGATTTAATGATCAATTCATTTATTTGAAAAGGTGGAAATATAGAGAAAGCAACAATCTAGGCAATGATTCACTGCCTGATGGCCACAGTGGCCAGGCTGAAAACAGGAGCCTGGAACTTCATCCCTGTTGCCTACATAGGTGCAGGCCCACACACTTGAGCTGTATTTGGCTGCTTTTTCCAGGCACATTTGCAGGGAGCTAGCTTGGAAATGTAATAGCCAAGACTTAGACTGGTGCCTGCTTGGCATGCTGGCATGAATAGCAGTAGGTATCATTTGATGTTCTGTGTCTGAAATTCAAAATGATTCATTTTGTGTCCTTTAGGGAAGATTATTTTGCAAAAAAAAATGAAGAACGAAAGCAAAATAAAGTGGAAGCTAAGTTAAGAGCTAAACAGTAAGTACGTTGAACAAATCAAGTGATTCTTAAACCTTTGACAAGGGCAGAATTTGTGGTTTGGGAAGAGCTGATGAGGAGATATATTAGTAGTAGTAGTGGGGTCCTACCGTTTTGGTAGTAAAATAGATATTTTCAGCTTAAACTATGCCTTTATAATCCAGGGGTTGTGTTGAAGTACAGTCTAGAATTGGGTGATCAGAAAACCAAAAGATTGGTCTTGGCTATTAAGTAGTGATGAGAATCATCGTTATTTTAAATTGAACATCTTGTGGTTACTGTATTTTTATTTGTAGAGAGCAAGAAGAAAAACAGAAGTTAGCAGAAGATGCTGAAATGGTAAGTACAGTTCCTTACCTACTACATGTATAAGTTGAAGTTACTATATTTGTTCAAAGTTGAGGAGTTTTTTTTAAATTTAAAAACATTTTTTTTGGCAATCTTTACTTAGTTAATTTGGGTAAAAAGGTTCAAGAGCTACAGGAACGTGAGTAAGGCTTATTATTTCCCTATTGTTTCCTTCATGTATCTGAGGTAAAGGGGGATATTGAGGGAGAAGCCCTACCCGGTTTCCCACCCACCCCAGGTCCCAGATGTGGGGCATGCTCTGAGATCCTTGCTCAAGTGGTTTTGATAGTTCAACAGCTATGAATCGCTGCCAGTCTCACCACTCCAGGCACGATGAGGTCATTGAAGAATCCACTGATTGACACAGTCCAACATAGAGTCTCCATTTGCCCAGTATTTCGCTGCCAACATATAGCTGAGGTGGTTGATTGACTTTTCCTGTCTATTGTCTTTTCTTGGTTAGGGTTCTGAGTCCGGCATTTCGATTGGGGAGATCCCCAAAGAAACTGAGGTGTTGCCAGACCAGATTCCTATATGTACTAGCAAGCACAGGGCCCGGCACAGTCCATCACCCCGGTCAGCTGGTGATTGCAACTTCTGGGTTGGTTCTGTTTTCAGCCCTGACTTCCACTGGAACCAATGGGTGTTGCAGTCCAGCCTGGTTCTGCCCATCACATATTCAGCCATCACACAAACCAGTGGGAGCTGCAGCCCAGTCAGAGCGTCCCATAGTAACCCCCACCAGGCCCGCCCCTACCCTGGTTTGCCAGTATGTGTCACAGATTAGTCCAGTCTGTCCCATATCCCATTTGGCTTTCATACATGTCAATGGGTATTGAAGCTTAGTTCTGTCTAGCCACCCCAGCCCGTCCTAATTATTTTGTGCTCTCCCGTGGGAGTGGTAACCCAAGAGGGAAGAGCCCACTATTTCCCTCCCAGGTCTCTCTTATTCCGAGATTATGCACTCTTCAAGTAGTTCTGTGGTTAGACTTGTTAGCCCCCAGTGCCAGCTTCTGCTGCAGCTAAGCCCAAACAACCCTCACCCACTCTAACTTATGCTTGCACCAGTAGGAATAATCAGCCCATTCTGGCTTTTCCCTGATCTGTTCCACATGAGGCCCACAGGTGTTGTAGCCCTGCCTAGTCTGGTCTGTCCCCATCCCAGCTCACGCTTTCCAGTGGGAGTAGCTGTCCAGCAAGGGAACCACCCCCTATTCCCCTGCCAGCTCTGCTCCTCCCTTCCTGATTCTCACGTGTGCTAGTTGGGAGCTGCGGTCACATCTGGCACAGCCAGCCTCACCTTGGCATTCTATGTCGTGTACTGCTTTTGAGGCGACTGAACCTGGCCCAACCCACACTCTGCTCCCGTGTTCGGATTTGCCAGTGAATGACACAAACTGATTCAGCCTGGTCCGCTCCCAACCCGTGCCAAGAGTATGCCAGTGGGACACTTTCCATAACCTCTTCTGGGCTGTTTCCTTCCATGCTTCTTGCGCTTATTTGAAAGTTGAGGACTTTCTAAAGATAATATGCAAACATTTCCAGTTATTGCACTAAAGTAATATTCAAATTATATTGTATAAAAGTAGAGATACTGTGATAACCAGATTTATGCATTTTATTAAATGTCACTAGTAGAGGAAATTAAGTTAAAATCAGAAATCATATGCAAGTAATATTTTGGGTTTTTTTTAAAAGATTTATTTATTTATTGGAAAGTCAGATATACAGAGAGGAGGAAAGACAGAGAGGAAGATCTTCCGTCTGAATATTCACTCCCCAAGCGAGCGCAACAGCCGGTGCTATGCTGATCTAAAGCCAGTAACCAGGAACTTCTTCCAGGTCTCCCATGTGGGTTCAGGGTCCCAAGGCTTTGAGCTGTTCTCGACTGCTTTCCCAGGCCACAAGCCGGGAGCTGGATAGGAAGTGGAGCTGCCGGGATTAGAACCAGTGCCCATATGGGATCCTGGAGCATTCAAGGCGAGGACTTCAGCCGCTAGGCCATGCCGCTGGGCCCTATCTTGGGTTGTTTTAACCTTGGTGTTGTCTAAGTATAGAGTTGAAGTGAGTTATTTTTGACTTTCCATTACTCTTTAAGGACTTTTTAATTGCCTTGTGTGTGTTTGTAGAAATCTCTAGAAGAGAAGATTGGATGCTTACTGAAATTTTCAGGTGACTTGGATGATCAGACCTGTAGAGAAGATCTGCACATCCTTTTTTCAAACCATGGTGAAATAAAATGGATAGACTTCGTCAGAGGAGCAAAAGAGGTTTGGAAACATTCCTATGCTTTAAGTGATGTTTTAAATCTCTGGTTAAAAATTAGTAAAAAAAAATCTTTTTGGCCATGTTTATTAAAATAATTTCATCTTTTTTTGTTGTTATTCCTGTCACTGGGCATTGTATCTTAAGTTTCCTTTGCTTTGAAGGACTGTTGGTATTGGTGACTGCAATTATAATATTCAGTATTTTAGGTGAAAGTGGTACTGGCATAGACCTGCAGGGCAGAACTATTGAGAAAATTCATTTGTGAAGCTTAACTGTGTGGCTTTCATTTTGTTTTTGGTGCAGGGAATAATTTTATTTAAAGAAAAAGCCAAGGAAGCATTAGATAAAGCCAAAGAAGCAAATAATGGTAACCTGCAACTAAGGAACAAAGACGTGACCTGGGAGATACTGGAAGGGGAGGTGGAAAAAACAGCATTGAAAAAAATCATAGAAGATCAGCAAGAATCACTAAACAAGTGGAAGTCAAAAGGTCATTCCTTTAGCTTTTCTTTAATAGTTTTGTTATTTTAGCTCATTTGCTTGAGTCAAAACCTTAATCAGTGTTGCAAAATGTGGACAAGAGACTTAAGAGTTTTCTTTGCCAAGTTCTCAGTTATGTCTCTACAGGTCGCAAATTTAAAGGGAAAGGAAAGGGAAATAAAGCTGCCCCACCTGCACCTGCTAAAGGAAAAGTACAGTTTCAAGGGAAGAAAACGAAATTTGGTAGTGATGATGAACATAATGAAAATGATGGAACTGGTATGTGTTTTCCAAGTCTTTTGGTGGTTTCATGGGAAATTATTTACCAGAGAGAAAGGAATGTGGTTTCTCCCAACTTCTGTCTAAGTGAGATAAGTGTCAGGGGATAAGTTCAGCAGTTATAATAATCTGTACCAAAGAAAAAGTCTTCGCTCATTTTTGGAAGGAAGCTATTACTAATCTTTTAAACAGATTATCAGGGTCCTGCATTGTGGCTTAGTGGGTTAAGCTGTTGACAGTGTTGTCCCTGGGATGCAGTGGAAGATGGTCTAGTGCTTAGGTCCTGCCACCCAAGTGGGCAGTGATGAAGGACCAGGCTCCTGTTGCAAGCTGGCCTAGCCACTGCCATTGCTGCTAACTGGGCAGTCAGTAAGTGGATTGAAGATGTATGACTGTCCCTTCTTTCCCAATAAGTGGATAAATATTTTTAACATAATTGTGCTTAATATTAAAATTCAGTGCTTGTTTTAACAAAAATTTATTCTGTTATTGAATAGGTCCAGTAAAAAGAACTAGAGAAGAAACAGACAAAGAGGAACCTGCATCAAAACAACAGAAAACAGAAAATGGTGCTGGAGACCAATAGATTAGTAAATAAAACTTTTATATTCTTCTTGATTAGCTATTAAGCTGCTTTGTCTTTGAAGGCTTTTAAAAAGAAAACCGAATTAGGTCCACTTCAATGTCCACCTGTAAGAAAGGAAAGTTTTTTGTTTAACTTGTCAATGTTACTTTAAAAAGAGTGGTTGTTTTTTTATTGTGTAGTTCTCTTTGTTATCCAAGATAATTTAAATATCAAAGGGAAGATTCTTCCAGTAAATTGCCTTTGTAATAAGAGAAACTAATAAAATATATACTATATAAGAAAACAGTAACATAGTAATTTTTCCTTTTGTACACAAAGCATTTCAGAAAGAACTTAAAACTAGAGTATCTGCTATTGATCATGGGCCCTTCCCACAGTTATTCTTTGCTTTCTTAGACTTGTTCTCTAGTTACCTAGTATAACTTGATAGTGTTAGGAATAATTTCTTATTGTGTTATTAACAAGAGATGGGTCAAAACCCAACTTACCGATTGCTTTTTATGAAAGTTATACGATGCTGGTAGATCATATCGAAGCTCTGTAGAATAAAATCCAATTAAGGGTAAAATTATATTTCCAAACACGTACCAAACTTTATAAGAAAAACTGAGAAAATGCTAAACACTGGTAAGCCAGACATTTTAAGCCTGTCACTTATCCATGTGTATTTGATGGGTATTTCTGCTATTTTGGTGTTTAGTGAAATGTGAGGTTATGAAGAAGAACTTAGAATAGATGATGGGACCTTACTAATAATGGCAAATTTAGCTGGATAATAATCACAGTTTTAAAATTCTCTTATCCAGATTTTACTAGTGGCAGTAACTAGCTAATTATTTTCCTACCAATCTCTCAAAACCTATTTTTCATATTTTGAATAATAATGTAGATGTTCTGTGCTTTTTCCATTGATCTGTTTATAACAGATGGCATTAAACATACTTACCTTTCATACTTAATAACAGGTTCTCACCATGTGGGGTTACAGTTCAGTGTACAATCAAATCACCCAGAGGTGGTGTTGAAATGCAGGTTCTACTCCGTTTGGGACGGAGCCTGAATTCTGTTTTTGTAGTTAAGTTCTGAGTGATATGGACGTTAATGCTGAAGGTCTGGGGACCATGTCTGGCATAGCAAAGCTCTGCTTTGGTATACTATTGGGACTGTGCTAAAGGTGTTTCGTGTTAATTATTGTAACACCTTAAACTACATAAGGAATGTCAGTACTGAACATAAGAAAATCAACGGATCTTTGACATCATGAACACTAATATGTTTAACACCAAAGGGCCGATTCATGGTAAGTTTACTGTTTAAAAATCATCTTTTCCTTACTGTACTCTTAGGGTTTTCAAAATTATTTGGGTTATATATAACCTCTAATTTATGCTTTTCCTGTTTTGATGTTTGTGAATATCACCCAATCTAGCAATAAAACCCATCAAAAGTTATTTAATCATAGTGTGGTTCTTTGTTGTATCTTTCACAAAAAAGAAAAGAGTTAAATGTCATTTTGACTCTTAACAGCAGTTAAGAAATTGAAACAGTTTTATCCAGGGCTGTGTATCAGAGCCTTTCCACTCCTGGTTGCAGCTTTCCAGGACCCCAAAAATGCATTAGAAAGAAATGGCAGGGGCCCGGTAGCGTGGTCTAGTTGCTAAAGTCCTCGCCTTGAACATGCCAGGATCCCATATGGGCACCAGTTCTGATCCTGGTGGCTCCACTTCCCATCCAGCTCCCTGCTTGTGGCCTGGGAGGGCAGTTGAGGATGGCCCAAGGCTTTGGGGCCCTGCACCCACGTGGGAGACGTGGAAGAGGCTCCTGGTTCCCAGCTCCGGATCGGCACAGCACCAGACGTTGTGGCTTACTTGGGGAGTGAATCATCGGACGGAAGATCTTCCTCTTTGTCTCTCCTCATCTCTGTATATCTGACTTTGTAATAGAAATAAATAAATCTTAAAAAAAAAGAAAGAAATGGCAGGGCCTGGCGCAGTAGCCTGATGACTAAAGTCCTCGCCTTGAATGCACCAGAATTCCATATGGGTGCTGGTTCTAATCCTGACAGCCCCACTTCCCATCCAGCTCCCTACTTGTGGCCTGGGAAGGCAGTTGAGTATGATCTAGAGCCTTGGTTCCTGCACCTGCATGGGAGACCCTGGAGGAAGTTCCTGGCTCTTGGCTTTTAATGGGCTTAGCACCGCTGTTGCAGTCATTTGGGGAGTTAATAATTGCATGGAATATCTTCCTCTCTGTCTCTCTTCCTCTCTATCTGACTTGGCAATAAAAAAAAAAAATAGATAGACCTTCACAAGACGTTCAGATCCTCCCCTAGCTGGAAGGCTGACTGCCCAGAGAATGCTGCTGGAACAGAGGCCACCATGGAACTGTGCAAGTTAGTAGTTAAGGAAGACCAGTGCCAAACCCAGAACCTGGAGACACTGAGGATGTAGAGAAACAGGCCAGTGGATTATGTGCAGGAAGCTCTTATCAGCTTGGTATGTTTGGAAGCCAGACTTGAGGAGAGAAAGGCTCTACCACATATGGAATATCCATTGAAATTTCACCTTTGCTGTTCGGTCTATATTTGGATAAGTGTACCATGGAGGGGAAAGCCCTACTATTTACCTCTTAAATGATGTTAACCACAGGTAGTGGGATGCTTTGTGTCAGTCAAACATTTTGACTTAAAAATTATAAAGAACATTTCATAGGCCTGGTACAGTAACTGAATGACTAACTCCTCCCCTTACAAGCACCAGGATCGCATACGGGAGCTGGTTCGTGTCTGCTCCACTTCGCATCCAGCTCCCTGTTTATGGCATGGGAAAGCAGCAGAGGATGGTCCAAAGTCTTGGGACCCTGCAACCCGGTGGGAGATCCAGATCAACTCAACTCTGGCAGTTAACAGCCATTTGGGGAGTGATCCAGCAAGTGGGAGATCTTTCTGTCTCTCCTCCTCCCTGTAAATCTGATTTGCCTTTCCTATAAAAATAAATAAATATTTTTGAAAAGATAGTTCTTCACTTCTGCATTTTAAGGAGCAAGGTATACTAGGAAAAGTGTTTTCTTAAACTGTTTTATCAAAAGGTTGGCCTTAGGTCTCCACTTAAATCCTTTGCTGTTGAATGACTGCATTTCCTCAGTCTCAAAAGTGTTCTGGTTGGAAGAGAAACTGCATGATTGATGACGCTGCATATCACAGATTGTGCTTTTGGCTCAAAGTCTATTTCCCATCTGCCAGAATATTATCTTCTCACCATTAAGTTCCAGAATCCTCACTAGAGGTTTAGTTCTCCTTAGGCTTACAAGGTATATAGTTTGGGAAACCAACTTTTCTAAACAGAAAAATGGTCTGAGGTAATAGAGTTTATTTAGATTGAAAAGAAGTTAAGTGGGATTCATGGTTCTTAGCCTTCTTTTACGTTGCTAAAGTAAGCCTCTTAATTCCCTTAATAAATTTTTATAGTGGGGGGTATTAGTTTATCCAGGAATAATGTGGTATTTTTCATGAATGGCTTTTAAGTCAAGGTCAACCAGCTCCAAGCTCCTGTTTTTAGTCACTGTATTATATGGTATTCTGTCTGAGCATGGGTGACCAAGTACTGGGGTGCTATAGAAAGTGTCAGTGAAATACAAAAACTAGGGTAGTCTCAGGCCCACCTTGAAGCACACTCACCCTGTGCAGACTGCATTTCTAATCCATTATCAGTCATGCACATTTTCCCAATAAAAAACATTCTCGGGCCCGGTGCAGTGGCTCAAGTGGTTAAGGTCCTTGCCTTGCACACCTGGGATCCCATATGGGCGCCGGTTCTAATCCCGGCAGCCCCGCTTCCCTTCCAGCTCCCTGCTTGTGGCCTGGGAAAGCAGTCGAGGACGGCCCAAAGCTTTGGGACCCTGCACCCGCGTGGGAGACCCGGAAGAGGCTCCTGGCTTCAGACTGGCATAGCATCGGCCGTTGCGCTCACTTGGGGAGTGAATCATCGGACGGAAGACCTTCCTCTCTGTCTCTCCTCTCTGTACATCTGCCTTCCCAATAAAAAAATGATAAAAATAAATCTCAAAAAAAAAAACCATTCTCGAGCATATTTTCACTGCACTTACTACAAATAAAAATTTTGGTTGAGTTAATCTATGTTGGCTCTTTAAGGTAACTAAAGTTAGGATTTCTTACCTGCAATAATATCTATCTTGATTTTCCATTCTGCAGCTTTCTTTTGAATATGCTAAATATAAATAACATATTAATATAAACTTTTGAATGATATTTAAAATTGCTTTTAACTAATACTTTTCAAACTTAAAAATGTATAAAATATTCATAAAAGCTTTAAATGGACAGTATTTTGCAAGACTGTACATTTTAATATATTTAGCAATCAACTAAATTACATATTAAATCCAATGATAAACTATTTCAGAAATCAATTGAAGTATATAATGTACTCATACAGTTCTGCAACCCTAATTCAGCATCCTTCTGGAATCCTATTAACAGAGACCCAGGTCCACAGACTATTCAGTGGCAGCATGAGAGAATATATCAGAGCATGGTCTCTGAAAATAAATCCAAATTAAAAAAAAAAAACAGTGTTGGTGCTATGGCATTGTAGGTTAAGCCTCCACCTGCAGTCCCAGTACCCCATATGGGCACCAGTTCAATTTCTGGCTGCTCCACTTCCAATCCGGCCCCCTGCTAATGTGCCTGGAAAAGCAGGGAAAGATGACTCAAGTCTTTAGGTCTCTGCGTCCACATGGAAGACTGCTTGGGAAGTGAACCAGCAGATGGAAGACCTCTCTCTGTCTCTATGTAAGTTTGCTTTTCAAATAAATAAATCTTAAGAAAAAAACAAAAACCATGGTCTTTGGAAAAAGACTGGAAACTTGCTGGCAGTTTGCTTCACAACCTGTGTTCTTAATCGACATGCTATACCGACTCTTAAAAATGGACTGGCGTGGTGGCGTAGTGGCTAATAATGCTGGCACCAGTTCTCATCCCGGCAGCTCCACTTCCCATCCAGCTCCCTGCTGTGGCCTGGGAAAGCAGTCAAGGATGGCTCAAGGTCTTGGGATCCTGCACCTGTGTGGGAGACCCAGAAGAAGCTCCTGGCTCCTGGCTTTGGATCAGCTCAGCTCTGGTCATTGTGGCCACTGGGAGTGAATCAATGGACGGAAGATCTTCCTCTCTATCTCTCCTCCTTTCTATATATCTGACTTTGCAATAAAAATAAATAAATCTTAAAAAACAAACAACAATAAAAAACTGGACTGTCCCTTCTCGCAATATCCTGGAAAATATTTTATATACCCAAACGTGTTACGTGCTAGCAAAAATAATGAAATACATAGTTTCTAAACTCAGGTGTGTATCACTTCAGGCTCAGTGTTTTTAGAAACCAGGCCTTACTTGTATCCCTTGGGTCCACACATGTCCCCTAGGGACATGAAGACAAATAGGCTCAACCATGACTTACCCCAGCAAACCAGAACATTGTGTAACCTTTGTTAAATCCTACTTCTTTACCCCAGATTCGTGGTGGCGTGGTGGCACTCCTAGCAACAGTTGATATCCAAACAAATTTTTGATGAAAGAAGTTAGTCATACAGGCTGGAAGAAAGCTAATCATAGGTGCCTGCTGGTTCAAGGGAAAGCTCAGTTTCTAAGTGCCAGATGTCATACAGGTCAGGGGAAATAGATACTGTGGTATTTAGTATTCACAGCAAATCTTTAAAAACACTGTCATGAGTTTAAAAATAAGTGACATGAAATATCCTGATGATCTGAACTTACTTCTCTGGTTGATGATTTGTGTAAGGAGTATACTGCTGTCCTTGCCATTTCCAAAGCAGTCTTGAGGAAAGCCATGTCTTTCCCTGGAGGAGCACAACAAATTATTTTTCAACATCATGACCCTCTTATCAAAATTGAAGATAACATGAAGAAGATTTAGAAACTTTTTTTCTCAGACTCCAAAATAGCCACTTCAAATTCTTTGTGCCATGAGCAGGGCACCAATAAAATACCAACATATTTTAAAGTTCGTAGCAGAAAACTAGGAATTTTCTTTCTTAGTTAAACAAGTCTAAACTGAAAATTTTAGTGCTATATCCCAAATTAATGACTTTCAAAAAGAGTAAAAGGAAACAAACAGGGTAGCAGTGGTCAGAATGCTCTCCCTGGAGGGCCAGAGCTTTGCCAAACATTCATGCCTTCTCTACTGATTTCCTGCTGGCCTTGCTCTCTCTGCACATACCATTAATGGTACTGATGGACATATTTCAAAACCCTTGGGTATGAGAAGGCATCAAAAGCAGGTTCTAAAACTATGCAGTCCTTGACAGGTTTGTAATTACAAAGCTAAGGAAAATTACTTTCAAAAGTAAGTGGAGGGGGAACCCAGCACAGTAGCCTAGTGGCTAAAATCTTCACCTTGCATGCACCAGGATCCCATATGGGCGTCGGTTCTAATCTGGTGGCCCTACTTCCAATCTAGCTCCCTGCTTGTGGCCTGGGAAAGCAGTCGAGGATGGCCTAGAGCCTTGGGAACCTGCACCCAAATGTGAGACCCAGAGGAGGCTCTAGGTTCCTGGCTTTAGATCAGCTTAGCTCTGGCCGTTGTAGTCACTTGGGGAGTGAATCATCAGATGGAAGATCTTCCTCTCTGTCTCTCCTCCTCTCTGTATATCTGCCTTTCCAATAAAAAATAACAAATCTCTTAAAAAATATGAAAAAAGTAAATGGGGAATATGAGTGAGACTATGTCATACAAATTAATGAGAAGAAAAACTGAAAAATTTAATTCCCAGCCATTCAGTAAACAAATAGGGATACAAAGTGCAGTTACTACACAGGAGACTAGGATAGTCATTGAACAGTGGGTTTTAAAACTTGGTTTTCTGGTCAAGGTGACCTAGTCACTAAATCCTCATCTTGCAACAGCCAGATCCCATATGAGTGCTCGGTTGTATGCTGGCTGCTGTACTTCCCATCCAGCTCCCTGCTTGTGGCCTGGGAAAGCAGTCAAGGACGGCCCAAAGCCTTGGGACCCTATACCCATGAGCAAGAACCAGAAGAAGCTCCTGGCTCCTGGCTTCAGATCAGCTCAGCTCCTTGTGGCCACTTGGGGGTGAACCATTGGCTGGAAGATCTTCCTCTCTGTCTCTTCTCTCTGTAAATCTGACTTTCCAATTAAAAAATAAGTGAATAATTTTTTTTTTTAAAAAGCAATAATAAAAAAAAAAAACAAAAAAAACCCCTTGGTTTTCTGCAAGAAAACCAGTACAACTGATTCTTGTTACCAACCTTTATTCTTTTTGGTCCCAAAGGGAGGATTCATTATTACTGTATCAAAAGACTTGGGCATCCTGTTTGATAATGTGCACACATCACATTGAACCATGTCAACATTTGCTAACTCAAACTCTTCCACATTCCTGTTAAAGATTTCCAGCGCATCTTCATCTAGGTCAAATCCAACACACAGTCTGTAAACAAAAAACACAGTGCACAGATGGGCAGTTTGTAACAACAACCCTAGCTATTTTACTACCTTTTTAACCCAATCTGCAGAGGAAGTGTAAGTGTTGCTCCCAAGAGCATGGTTTCCTCACCTGACAGAGCTTAGAAACAGCTTTGTATAAAAGGGACTTCTCCTGTTACCACTTAAGTTTTTTTTTTTTTTAGCTTCTTTCCATATCAGATTCTTAACCCCGGCCCCATCTCATACGGCAGAGTCTCATAAATATAATTTACGTTGACACTATGTTTATTAAAGTCACTCAACACCCAGAAGTGTATATGGGATCACCTACCCAGCTCCTAACATGGCGGCTCCAATGCTAAGCACTCCACAGCCACATCCTAGATCTGCAACCACTTTGTTTGCAATGTCATCGTACGTGTTATGGATTGTATACAACATACATGCTAAAATAATAAGAGGAAATAGCATAAGTGAGCAAGGCAAGGACTCAAATTCACTTTGTTCAAGTGACTTTACAATCATGTCTTCCACTTAGTTGTCCCCCAAATACCATCCCAGATTGTCTTTAGAAGGTACAATTATTTCGGTAGTTAGAGGCACCACTGAGGAAAGCAACCCACGCCAGTTGCTCACAGCAAGTGTGTGCTGACAACGCCGAGAGACCTTGAGTCAAAGGAGAAATCAATGCGCTGATTTTGCTCAGTCACTTCAGAACACTGCCACGCACGCACACACCTATCCGTTCTTTGATGGGGAAGTATTTTTATGAAGGAATGGTCAATGCAGGTTTTACAATATCCTTCCCTGTTGAAGCATAAGGATATAAGATAATTTTGAAATGTTACTCTTCTGTAACATTAGCAAGTCTAGGAACCACTAATCTCAAATAAACCATCAGCCTCAGCGCACAGTATTTGATGCTTCCACCATAGCACCTTCAGACTCTCAGCAAAGGGGCCTGATAACCACTGAGGACCTGAGCAGAGGACGCTGGGAGCACCAAACCTTTCCAACACAACGGATTTGACACTCCAGAAGCTAACCAGGAACAACTCCTAGCCAGGAGGCTGGCCCTCACCGATGCCTGGCAATCCTAAAATTGAGGTTGGAATCCTGACATCAACTTAAAGTTATGAGCACATTCTCCTTGTCTTTCACTGGTAGTTGAGACACATTCCTGCCTGCAGGTGCGCCTGTCAAATTGTCTTAAGGCTTCTCAACGACTCTGAGAACGTGTTTATGAAATATGAATGGCTTTTCCTGTGTTTCCTCCTGTATTCCCATTATTAAAATCTGGCACGAAACAAGAGGCTAATTGTTAAACCATTGTGTTTAAACGGAAATGCATCCTCATCCTGCCACAGCCCGCCCCTTGGGTTTGGTTCGACTCAGCCCACCCGCCTTCAACTCTTGGAATTCGTTTTTGGGCAGGTCCTTTCCCTGGCGAATTGCTGCAGGAGGAAACAGCTCTGTAGCAGATGCTGATGGAACTCCTCGCGTGCAACGGAGAGGACTCAGCTGTGTCTGAAGCTGACAGTGGAATGAGAAAGCTGCCTTGCGCAGTGTCTGACAGGGTTGCGGGACACACAGAAAATAAGCGACCCACAGTGTGTCTCCGCGCTCCAGCGGAGAACTCGTCCCTGCACTCCTGGCATCCCCGTTTTATTTGCAGCTCGGGGCGCCCGCACGTGGAGCCGCCGGCCGCCCTACCTGCGATGTGCGGTCTGGTCGCATACTGCTCCAGAAGGAGCTTGGGCCTTTCGAATTCATCCACTTGTTGAAGGCGACTCTCTAGTTCCTTCAGCCTTAATTTCTTCATTAAAAAAAAAAAAAAGTTAGTGGGGGGCTCGCGGGATTTAAGGGCACTGATCTGCAGAGAAAAAAAAAAAACAAACAACTTTAATCTCGCCCGTCAACGCCCCCGACCGGCGGCGGGCCAGAAGACGCGGAGTCACCCCGGTTCCTCGGGGACAGCGTGCGGGTAACCCACGCACCCTTCGAGCCACTTCCGGGCCCCGCTCGCCGCGTCTCGCACCCCTCAGGTGGCGGATGGCACTGCGGCTGGAGACCGGAAGCGCCGTCGCGCACGCGCCTCTTCCGCCCAGCGGCGCAGCGCCGACCTGCACCTAGTGCCAAGCATCCGGGTTCCGCGGACAACTGGAGCGCCTCAGCATCACCGCAGGCAGGTGTACTGCAGGGCCTCTGACGCGAGTTCTGTGTCCTCTGTGTTCGAATATCTGCAGGCCCTCACAGCTTTGAGCGACGTGAGGAAAAGAGAGGATAAGAATAATCCAGGAGAGACAGTGAAAATTACTTTTACAGCCCGGAGTGCTCCCTTAGCTTCTTGTCTCTCACACTTCCGCCATTTGCAAACCCTACTTTGTTGTAACTTCGATTTTTCTCTCTTCAGGTTATCTCTGTCAACCCGATTCTCACCGTTGCGGTGATGTCACAGCAGCCCAAAGAAGAGTTTAAAATTAGAAGTTAGTGGTGTTGGGCTGCTACTAGAAGCAGAAACCAAGTTGCAAAACTAGAAAGAGCAAATGTGACCAATTCTTTAAAAACGTAGCTACCAAGACGAACAATGTTTAGTGCTTCGTGAAGTTATTATTATTGTTATTATTTTAAAACTTATTTATTTTTATTGGAAAGGCAGATATACAGAGAGGAGGAGAGACAGAAAGGAAGATCTTCCGTCTGATGGTTCACTCCCCAAGTGACTGCAACGGCTGGAGTTGAGTCAATCAGGAGCCAGGAGCCAGGAGCCAGGAGCCTCTTCTGGTTCTCCCACGCAGGTGCAGGGTCCCAAAGCTTTGGGCCGTTCTGCTTTCCTGGGCCATCAGCAGGGAGCTGGATAGGAAGTAGAGAACCAGCATCCCTATGGGATCCCGGTGCATGCAAGGTGAGGACTTTAACCACTATGCTATCGTGCCGGGTCCATAACGTTATTGAGAGTGTTGTTAGGGTAGGAGGCAGAAAATCTAAATTTTGACTAAGTAGACGTAACAGAAAAGGGGAGAGTGTTAAAATACAAAATACAAGCAAGAAGATATTGAAAAGGGTTAGGGTCCTAAGAAGGAAGACTCTGGTGTTAAAATAACAAAATAAGTATCTCTTTATTAGTATAGGAAGAAAAAAAAAGGAATAAATGGATACTGATAGAGTAATTTTGTCTGAGGCTACAACTTCTTAGATACAGGGTATTCAAAGTTATGTTACTAAGAGTGAGTTGACATGTAATAATTTCTTAGCACATAAAATTGTCTGTCATGCATAAATGCCTACCTAGTGCTAATTATTGGTGATGGTGTTATTTTGTTGCTTAGTTTTGACTCCCCAGCCTAATGGCTTCTCCATTCTAAAATTTCTACATTCCTTGTCATGTCAACAGCCTTCTATAAATAGAGGCACACCGTGTATAAACTTTTCTGACTCTTTTTTCACTTAGCGTACTTTTCTGTATAGTGTGATAATTACATACTTTCTCTTCTATTTCTGTTCTATTCATTTTAAGATGCAGAGACAGCGAAAGAGAGAGAGAATGCTTGTGCTTGCTTGTTCACTTTCCAGATGGATACAACTGCTGGGAGTGGGTCAGGCAAAAGGCAGGAGCCAGAAACTCAGTGGCCTCTGCGCTGTGGGAGGTGTCACCCCCTGACCCCATGCTGCCTCCAGGTGGGCTCAGTGGCAGGAAGCTGCAGGCAGGAGCCAGGCTGTAGTATCTAATTCGGGCACTGTGCTGCAGGACGAGGCCTATGGCCAGCGAGGTTAAACCTAGTCCTCTGCCCTGCTTGGTTTTTCTCCTTTAAGAAATTGTCTGGGGCCCGGCGCAATAGCTTAGTGGCTAAAGTCCTCGCCTTGTACACCTGGAATCCCATAGAGGTGCCGGTTCCAATCCTGGCAGCCCTGCTTCCCATCCAGCTCGCTGCTTGTGGCCTGGGACAGCAGTTGAGGATGGGCCAAATCCTTGGGGTCCTTCACCCTCATAGGAGTCCCGGTAGAGCTCCTGGCTTCAGATTGGCTCAGCTCTGGCCATTGTGGTCACTTGGGGAGTGAACCATTGGATGGAAAATCTTCCTCTCTGTCTCTCCTCCTCTCTGTATATCTGCCTTTCCAATAAAAATAAATAAATCTTAAAATTAAATAATAATAATAAAAAGAAATTGTCTGGGCCCAGTGCGATGGCTCAGTGGATAAATCCTATGCCACCACAATGGACCCATCACCCATTTTCTAATTAATTTATCTTTTACTTTACTGTTGACATTTGACATTTCTTTTTTTTAAGGTTTATTTATTTTTATTGCAAAGTCAGATATACAGAGAGGAGGGACAGGAAGATCTTCTATCTGATGATTCATTCCCCAAGTAACCTCAGTGGTCAGTGCTGAGCCAATCTGAAGCCAGGAGCTTCTTCCAGGTCTCCCTCATGGGTGCAGGGTCCCAAGGCTTTGGACATCCTCTATTGCTTTTCCAGGCCACAAGCAAGGAGCTGAATGGAAAGTGGAGCAGCTGGGACATGAACCAGCACCCATTTGGGATCCTACCACATGCAAGGGAAGAACTTTAGCCACTAGGCTAGTGCACTGGGCCCTCTTTTGTGTTGAAATTTATAATTGGGAAGGCAGATGTACAGAAAAGGATATCCATAGAGAGAGAGAGAGATATCTTCCATCTGCTGGTTACTCCCCAAATACCTGCAATTGCTGGGACTTGGACAGGCCAAAGCCAGAAGCCTGGCGCTTCATGTGGGTCTCTCATTTGGGTGGCAGCTTAACGTGCCTTCCTCTGCCTTGAGTTAACTGCTTTGTGGTTAGTACTTTTTGTGTTTATTATAAAATACTTTCTTATCTAAAGATCAGAAGCAATCATTATAAAAATGATAAGAATGTTTTTGTAGATGACGTGTCAGCGTATGAATCTGTTAGCTCCACGGCAGTGTCGTAATCTCTCTTAATGGTGCCTCGTGGTGCCTCGTGGTATTGTGTCATCTCATGGTCACGCCGTGGACTGTGTCCGTTTCGGTCTCAGTGCCATCCTTAGCTCTTCCAGAGAGTGAGTTGCAGAGGGTTGACTAATACTTGTCGAATTAATTTATTGCATGAATAGGGTAGTAAGTAAAACTTTTCTGGGCCATCCATAGTAGAAAATGTAGCTTTCTTAGGATTTTTTTTTTTTTAAAGAGCGGGCAGTAAGCTGCAGTTAGATAAGAAGTACTATTGTTCTCAGGCAAATAGGATCATTATAGATACTGCGAATGCATTGTGTTTTTCTCCTCAGAAAACACTTGGAGAAAGGACCTAGCATGTTCTGTACTGAGGATTTGTTAAGTGGTTGAGGAGGCAGAGAAATTGAGGACATGTATGGAAGCATTGTATGGCACCTTGTAAACATGTATGGTATTTTAATGTGTTAGTTAAAAATAAAAGTGCACCAGAAAATAGAAATTAGGACATGTATTGTTAAGTGACAAGACTCCAGAGGTTTGTGAAGCATCAACGACCTTGACAATGATGCACAGCCCAGCCCACAGAGGAGCCGATGTAGGTCAAGCCCTCGGTGCAGTGTCATGCTGTGCTCCTCCAAAATATTCCAAAGGCATGAGTTGAGAAACTTACTAAAAATGTCCTTGCTTCAATATTCAACAAAAGAGAGAAAGTATGGTTGTAGGGTCTTAAAGAGCTCAGTTACGAAAAAGGAAGCAATAGCCCCAGGAAGCCTAGGTGAATTCTTTTCTGTGTTCCCTAGATTGCTCATTAAGGGCTGTGAAATGAAAGTAACCTTTGGGCCCTGCACGGTAGCCTAGTAGCTAACGCCCTTGCCTTCCATGAGCTGGGATCCCATAAATGGGTGGTGTTTGTATCCCAGCTGCTTCACTTCCCAGCCAGTTCCCTGCCTGTGGCCTGTGAAAGCAGTTGAGGATGACCCAAAATGTTGGGACCCCACATCTGCATGGGAGACTTGGAAGAAGCTCCTGGCTCGGGGCTCCTGGCTTCAGCTCAGCTCAGCTCTGACCATTGTGACCACTAGGGGAGTAGACCAGAGGGCAGAATATCTTTCTGTCTGTGTCTCCCTCTCTCTGTATATCTGCCTTTCCAGTAAAAAATAAAAATTTAAAAAAGAAGGTCGCCTTTCCTAGTGCTTGTAAAATGGGGGCAATAATTGCCTTTTTGGGTTGCTGTGATTCTTTTTTTTTTTTTTAAAGATTTATTTTTATTATGTTTTTATTGGAAAGGCAGATATACAGAGAGGAGGAGAGACAGAGAGGAAGATCTTCCATCCAATGATTCACTCCCCAAGTGAGCGCAACGGCCGATACTATGCCAGTCCGAAGCCAGGAGCCTCTTCCGGGTCTCCCACGCGGGTGCAGGTTCCCAAAGCTTTGAGCCGTCCTCGACTGCTTTCCCAGGCCACAGGCAGGGAGCTGGAAGGGAAGCAGGGCTGCTGGGATTAGAACTGGCGCCCATATGGGATCCCAGGCGTGCTAGGTGAGGACTTTAACCACTTGTGCCACCGCGCCGGGCCCTGCTGTGATTCTTAAATGTCATCAGTGGACAGAGTCCTTAGTGAACAAGATGCTTCTTTTGGTGTGCAGTTCATCACTTGCCATTGATATCGATGTACACAGCGAAAAAATCTGTAAGGAGAGGCCAGGAGGAAGTTTAGAAGTGAGTATTGTGAGCATCTGTAATTTTTATACACCCACCAGCTGTCTCCTTCCCTCCTTTCTGCCAAAAGTGTGGCATTGGCCGGTAGCTCTGTCAGCTCAAGTTCTTTCCCAGGTCTGTAAGTGGAGCTGGCCTGCCAGAACCCCTTTCTGTTTGTTATGATGCCATGCGGGGGTGGGTCCTGAATGTGGGGGTTGGGAGAGGCCCTCCAACAAAAGCTGTTTTGTGGACATGGAATGGGTGTGAGAACACGTCCCTCCCCCCTCACTCCATTGTTTCATCTGTGTGATTTAAATATGGTTCTCTTTGGCTTAAGCTAGTTCAAGTTGGGTTTCTGTTTCTTGCAACTGAGAGTGTTCTAGTGGTAAAAAAAAAAAAAA